CAATTTCACAAATACAGACCCCAGCGATACTGTTTTGGTTTCAATCGCTCCTTCAAAAAGCTCCTTGTTTGGCTCGCTGACAATTTTTGTGTAATTCTATTCCTGACACATTTTGCGAAGTTATGCTATGTAACTGCAGGTTATGTTCTCATTTGTCAGAATGTAAATATGCAGAGCTTGTACATTAGTAGTATCTATAGAGAAATATTTTCTCTTGTGTTACTATGTAAATCTGAACTGATTTTCCTCTCAGGATAATCTAGGCCGACACACCATCTGCTGTCAAAGTGCCAGCTGTCAAACACCAGCTCACACTGACTTCAGCTTTTATTAGGAGCACAGTCCCTCTCCTTCATACAATCTCCTACTGCCTCCCCCCCACCCCAACCCCCCAACCCCTCCTGAGAGAACAGCCCCTTGTGAACAAAGCTGCGAGATTGTGGCTTGTTAGGTTTATTTAGCTTTAAAGGCAATGAATGTTCTGTTCAAAATTACATCAACCAGCTGTGTCTCTTGGATGTCCCTGAGACATTTCCTTTGATCTGTGTTTTGCTCTGTGTGCAGTGCTAATTAATGTGGCTGGTTGAAATGCAAATCGCTGTCATCAGATTATTTTAAAACGTTTTATATATTTGCCTGTGTCTTTAGTAGGTTGAATTTGTACTATGACCTCATTATTATTTGTCTGAGATGCTGCAAAATGTCTTATCTAATATTTCTGGTATTATTAATATGGAAGTCCATTTTTTCATTTATAAATTAACTGGTTGAAATAAAGAGCCCTTTGATCTGTAACTAGTGGAGTAAGTGAATATGGTTTATTTAGACTGGTTTGTATTGGCACAGTCAGCAGGGAAATCACCTTCAAGGCAGCCTAAGTATCTCGCAAAAGATAGAAATTACAAAATTCTTTTTACTATGTGTTCTAAAAAAATGCTGTTAAAGCATTAAGATCTTTTTGTTCTATCAAAGGGCCATTGCAGTTTGTTCGTCCTTTTAGAGAGAGTTTGAAAACAATAAATTTACTCTCTCAAGCGTTTGGGACAGTTTTGTTCTTAGCTCTGCATTTGAAATTTGCAATGGCAATAAGTTAGGAAAAAAAGCATAAAAAAGAATGAGTAGGCCATTCAGTCCCTTAATCATTGTCTGATATTCAGTAAAATCATAGCTGATCTGCCTCGGACTTAAATTCCTCTTTTTGTGCCAGCTCCTTAAGTATTTCAAAAACTATCAGTCTCCTCTTTAAATTCTTTCAGTGATCTAGCCTCCAAACTTTCTGTGGTCAACAATTCCAGGCATCAACTACCCTTTGGAAGAAGAAATTCCTTCGCATCTGTTTTAAATGAGTGTCCCTTATAACAAAGTCCCTCCAGTGATCCCCCCCCCAGTGGAAACATCTTCTCAACATCTGCCCTGTTAAGCCCCCTCAGAATCGTGTATGTTTCAATAAGATCACCCCTCATTTTTCCAAAGTGTAATGAGAAAAGGCCTAACCCATTTATTTGTTCGTGAGTGTCCAACCCCTCCCTCCCAGGTTTTCAGACGAGTGAACCCCTCTTGAACCATTTCCAGTGCCTTCTGATTCTTCCTATCCAAGTGAATGACCTCACACCTTGCAACAGTAAAGTCCATTTGGCATGTTTTTGCCTACTCACTCAAACAATCTATATCCCTGGTCAATTGTTTATGTCTTCTTCAGAGCATGCCTTTCCACCTACGTTTGTAATGTCAGTAAATCTGGGTGCATTACGCTCTGCCACCAAGTCATTAATATTGATTGTAAATATTTGAGGCCATAGAATTGCTCCCTGTGGTACTCGACTAGTTATGTCTTTCCAACCTGAAAATGACCCATTAATTCCGACTCTATCTTCTGTATGCTAACCCATCTTCAATCCACACTAATACATTACCCCAATACCGTGAGCACCTACCTTGTCCAATAATCTTTTATGTGGCACCTTTTCAAGTGCCTTCTGGAATTCCAAATACACCACATCTACTGGTTCCCCTGTACTTGTTATATCTCCAAAGTACTCTTACAAATTTTTCAAACACGATTTCCCAATCACCAAACCATTTTGACTCTGATTGTGTTAGCTTTATTATAAAAATATCCTGCTGTTTCTTCATTAAGAATGGAGTGCAGCATTTTCCCCAATGAGAGACTAACTGGCCTGTAGTTTCCTCCTTCCTGTCTCCCTGCCTTTTTGTACAGGGGTTTCACATTAATGGTTTTCCAAACCCTTGGGACCCTCTTGAAACTCAGTAAGTTCTGGAATATTTTGAGCAATGTCTCCACTATCTCTGCAGCCACTTCCTATGATAACTCTTGGATGGAGGCTGTCAGATCCTCATCATTTGGCTGCCTTTCTTCCCATTAGTTTGTCAAATACTTTGTTACTCATGACAGAGACTGTTACGGGATCTTTCCTTCCATTAGCAGCTTCCTTACCTGTTGTCATCACACAGAATCCCTACAGTGTAGAAACAGGCCCTTCAGCCCAACACGTCCACACCAACCCTTGGAGCATCCCACCCAGACCCATCCCCTTATAACCCACCTAAGCTATGCATCACAGAACACTATGGACAATTTAGCATGACCAATCCACCTAGCCTGCACATCTTCGGACTGTGTGAGGAAACCGGAGCACCCGGAGGAAACCCACGCAGACACAGGGGGAGTGTGCAAACTCCACACAGACAGTTGCCCGAGGGTGGAATCAAACCCAGGTTCCTGGCGCTGTGAGGCAGCAGTGCTAACCACTGAGCCACCGTGCCTCCCAATTTGGATGTCACTAATTTCTATCCTCTAAGGGTCCCAAATGTACTTTAGCTACTCTCTTTCTTTGTATGCACTGACAGAGGTTCTTGCTGTTTATTTTTTGTTTCTTTTTGCCAATTTACTTATGTAATGAATTTTATCCCTCTTTATTTGCTTTATAGTCATCTGCTGCCAGTTCCGAAAAATAAATCTCAATCCTGTGGTTTGTCTGAGTTTTTGATTGGATACTCTACCTGACTGCCTTTGTAATCCAAAAGTGATTTATCCTGCTCAAGTACCTTACAACCAGAACAAGCTTTTACTGCAAAAAATGAAATATTTGCTGAAATGTCTGTCACTGATATTGCCCTTCGACTTTGGACAATTCTTTTACATCCTGTGTAGCTACCCTCATTTAAGTTGAGGACACTGGTTTGAGAATCAAGTTGCTGTCCCTCAGAATGCATTTGAAATTCTGCGATGTTATAATCATTACCCCCAGAGGATTTGTAACTACAACATCTCTTATTAATTTTTTTAAAATTCATTCACGGGATGTGGGCATCTGTGGCTAGCCTGCATTTATTGCCCATCCCTAATTACCCAGAGGGTAGTTAAGAATCAACCACATTGCTGTGGGTCTGGAGTCACATGTAGACCAGACATCACAGAATTGTAGAATCCCTACAGTGTGGAAGCAGGCCAATTGGCCCATCAAGTCCATAAAGCATCCCACCTAGGGATGTGCAGGCTATGTAGATTAGCCATGGGAAATGGGGGATTACAGGCATGTGTTTGGGTGGGATGTTCTTCAGAGGGTTGGTGCAGACTCAATGGGCTGAACTGCCTCTTTCATCACTGTGGGGATTCTATGATCCTCCAAGCAGTCTGGGCCACACCAAGAGGAAGAACCTCTTACCTGTTGGACAGGAGTACTGGCTGAGGCTCCTCAAAAATTTACATTCTGGATCTCCATGCACACAGTAACACCCTCTTGTCTATGAGCACAGGCTGAATTTAATATAATTAATCTAATGGGTGTGACTGCAACATTGTCTCAATTCTTACCCCCCTTCTCTGGTATATTGCAGTGTCCACAGCTCAAGCTTCAGCTCATCAACTCTGAGCTAGAGTTCCTCAATAGCCAACACTTGCTGTATTTGTGGTTACCATGGATCACGCCAGTATCCAGCAGCTCCCACATACTACAGCCACAACCCATCGACTGCTCAGCCCTCTCTATTCTTATTTCATTAATTAATTTGGTTGTTAAATATTTTAAAGTGATTTTTTTTTCCAAGCTTCTGTTGTATTAATGTCTCCTGATTTAAACTGCTTGACCAATCTAAAGGTACACTGAAGAAATACCCATCAGTCACCTCCCCGTTTTCCTGTGATGTCAGGTCCAGCAGGTGAAAGGGGTTGTAGGAGCTTTGAGTTGCTTGTTTGTATCTTCTACCGCTGCTCACACAGGGCCATTCCTTTCTTTAGGAAGTAGTTAAAGCCCAATGCACATTGTTACTGCAAAGTTATCTCTCTTTGTCCAAACTCAGTGAGCACAAGGGGTGGAGTTTATTTATGAAAGCCTGGTGTAAGCTTAAGGAAGGTGCTAAACTTAAGAGAAAGGGGATGCTCTTTAGAAAGCCTCAACTCTAATATTCCTTTTCCTTTCCTGACCACTTGCCCCTTCCCCCTGTAACGTCTGCATTTTTAACCTGACCCTGCTGTAATATTTCACACTGGCTGTCAACTTCTTTGTCTGACTCCTTGCCCTGGTAGGAACGTGTCTGTGAGATACACTAATCTAACTTGTCCAGCTAACACAGATAAGTCCGATTGAATAACAATGTTGAGTCTTGCATTGCAGTTTTCTCGGGGCTAATTAAACCTGCCATCCGAGAAGGTAGCATTGCCTGCTGACTGTTTTTGATCACCTGGCAACTGATTGGCACGCACAATTCAAGAGGCAACCTGTGCTTTATACCTCAGCAGCACATTAATCGAGACCGGAATATGGGAAGTGACAGAGAATCCATACGCACACAAAGTATGCTCAGTTTTGCCGATTTTCTGATGCATTGCATGTCAAACTGATGACATATTACTGCAAAGCAGGATGTGTTACTGGAGCAAGTCCATCATAAAGCCTTGGCAATTTAGCAATTTTTAATATAAACAGCATTTGTCATGTGCTCTTAACATCCCTGACAAGTCTTTCCTTCTAATTGTTCAGCTGGTGGTCTGCAGGAAATTGCCACAAAGTTTGACAACCAGAGTGTGATGTATGGATTCTGCAGCATCAAGGATTCTGGTTCTGGCCTGCCTAAGTATGTCCTCATAAACTGGGTATGTAAACAATCCCTTTCCTCGCAGTCTTGCTGCCATGTTTTAGTAGATGCAAAACCTCCACAATTAAAACCATCCTTACCAAGGTCCAGAAAGGTGTGCTAGCATACATTATAGTTTACCAGTTACAGAATCTAATTGATGCCTTCCCAGTCATGTCTTTGTCAACTCCAGCCTTGATTTCTGTTTACATTTTGTCAGCATCCTGTATCAGCCATTCATTAACATCAACCCATTCAAATTTCTGCCACACGTGTTGTATCCCTGTCCAACCCCTTCTCATCCATTGGCTGTATGTTTGCATTGACTTCTAATCCTGATGAGATCAAGTTTAAAACTCTTAAATTTGTGGTATATTTGTCGTAATTCTATAGCTTTTTACATCATTACCCAGCAACAACTCGCCCCTCCCGTCCGCTAACCTCTGAAATCCCTATTTCTCTCGCTTGGAAATCTTCTCACACCCTCTATCTTTTCATCCCAGATTTGATGAGAATGCTTTCAGCTACTAAGATATTGTGCTCTTGAAATCCCTCCCTATCACCATCTCTGGACAACGCCCCCCCCCCCGCCCCATTCTTTTAAGTCCACCTTAAAACTCACTTATTACACAGTTTCTTCAAACTTTTGATCAGCCTTCCGAATGTCTGTACACTTTTGGCTTGGAGTAAATTTTGTTCTTTCCCTTGTACCTCTGTGAATCACTATTTACCATTTTTAGGTGATAAGTGTGCTATGTAAATGCAGATTGTTCAGTAGATGAACTTGTTTGTTCCAGGTGTTGAGAAGAATTCTGTAATTTTACACTTGTCAGTATTTATCATTTTCTGTGGTTCGTCATTTTATGCTTCATGTGGAGAGAAGGGTCCTCTTATGTAGGGTCAAGGGCATAATTTATCCTGCCCTCAAGCACTGAAACACACTTGATGTACTTTACAGGCAATAGGAATGCCCTCTTATTTCCTGAGGCCATCAATTGGTGTGGGTTAACAACAATATAACTCAGAACCCTGTGAGATCATTGGCTCTGTTCTTGACCTCCATCAGTGCAATGTGATGCCATAGTGATTGATTATTTCCAAAGAAAATCCTCAAACAGAACCTGCCACTGGTGACGCCAGTGTGAGAAACAGATAAAAGATTGGGATTTAAGTTACCTTTGGATGGATTTAGCTCCTGATTGTGTTTGAAACAGTGTTCAGTATGTCCCCTGCTGTGAGAAAACGTGTAATGCAACTTTTATGCAGTAACTTACGGACCTGTCAATAGTGCATGCAGTGGTTCTAAAGTGTTTCCCTCTCTACTTTCTCGTTGAATGAAACAACATCGTTCAGTAATTCTCACCTGTTACTTATGTCATGTTTTAAGTCAGTCTATGTCATTAACTCTCTTGTAGGCCCGGGTAAGTGTGTGATCAATTTCCACATCTTTAGAAGTATTATTTCGAAGCCATCCCCAAAGTAATGCTTGAGAATAGGAACTGACCGCGCAGAGATTCATAAGAAGGAGCCTGTGTCCCCATACTCCATTGCTACACGCTCTCAATTCTGCAATTACATCCATCAAATGGAATTGAATAAGAGTTACAGTATCCTCTCTTTTTTATTATTTACTCTATTTATTAACATTTCTTTCTTCCTGTCCATTTATCTTCCTAATGACGAGCACTTTGCTGAAGTAAGATCTGAAATTGGCCCAATAATCCCCTCTCTGATTGTTTGGTGAGCGCAGAGGTGATTGTCCTTTTCCAAAGAACCTCTTCCATAGACCAGTCAAATCTGAGTAACTGCTTCAGTACCGTCATAAGGATAAACATTTCTGTAGCTTCCTAATCTGCATCTGGATGTGAAGAACTGATATTCTTATGCAATCTCAAAGGTAATCCATGAAGCAGCTCCTGTTACACTGCCCAGGAATGAGAGAGGTTCCTGGTACAATTCCAAAACCAACCACTCTCTCTTGATGTCTTGAACTGGTGTAAGTTATTTCGGAAGATGATGTTTTTCAAGTGTATATGGGGTGAGAACAACCTCGGAGATTACTCCTTTTAATTGATGTATGAAGTTATGAATCTTGGTTAAAGCAGAATTTGGGAGATTTTTGTATTTGTTTTCTTCTCTAGGTTGGTGAAGATGTTGATGACATTCGAAAATGTACATGTGCTAGTCACGTGCCAACAATTGCAGACTTCTTTCAGGTAAACATGTTCCTTCTGCTACTTTAGACCATCCTTCTCTGTTACATAAAAAACACATGTCCTCGATTCAGCTCAGTTACTGACATTGAACTTGCCAGATCCATGGAAATAAAATGCTCTCAAATTGATAAGTTTAGCCAGTGTGGCATTTTGCTGCAGTATTTTGTATAGAAGATCAAAGTACATTCACCAACTGCCCCACTCTCCATTGCTAAATCAGCCCCTTGAGTCTGACATAAATTTTATATACTGTAGGATTAAAATGATTGCAGCCTGAAGTGTATAAATCCCTCACTTAACTCTGATCATTGGCAGGAACTACCAGATGTAATCCTAGCCAGTGGAGGTGAAATCGCTGTTTAATAACTAAAAGACTTCAGCTACAGCAATAGTTGGCCAATAAGAAAAGTATTTATTTAAACACCAGGAAATCTTACAGCCAGAGATCGGTCAATTTAAGTTAGCTACTGGTCAGAGCAACAATAATTGGTATCACTGCCCAGGAACTGATTTGCTGGAGAATTGGTACGGATGCAATGGTGCAGAACCAGCTATGGTTTCAGTTCCCACTCTTTGCTGAACTACATCAATGTAGATGTCAAGATTTAATTGCAATACTTCCGTGCTGCAGCTTACTGATGCTTGCAGAATAACGGGTACAGTTGAAGGACCACAACATGGTAAAGTGTATGAGGGTGTCTGGCATTCTACAGAAAAAAAATCAACACATTTACACACAGGATGGAGGAAAGCAAGGAAAATAGAAGAGTGAGGGTTTTGTTTTCTTTGAAAACCCATGTAAAATATTCAAACCATTGTGAATAATATTGACCTTTGTCTTACCATTCACTCTATGCCACACTCCAAACAGGGGGCAAATGTTATTGTGAATGCCAGCAGTCCCGAGGACGTAGACTCAACTGCTATTCGTCAAAAGCTGACCAATGGCACAATGCACATTTCGAGCCCAGTTTTGCGCCGACTTCACCTGAAAGAGGACGATGATTTATTGGGTCCAGTGGTGAGTAAAGGACAAAGACTTGAATTCTCATCACAGAGGCAGGGGAAGGGAGCTGGCTGTTTTCCAAACAGATAACGGTCTGCAGGGGAAATTAATCAAAGTTAAATGTACGCATGGGCGAAGCCTTAATTGGCACAATGATGGAGTGACAGGATGATGGATGAGGTCCCTCAGCAGAGAGTTCTACCTCTGAGAGCTGTCACTGAATTACAGGGCCAGAAGCGCCACCTTGAAAGGTGGCCACTGAAGGGACTGCAACAGTTCCCAGACCAAAGCTGCAGTGGGGCCTGTAGAAGGAGGGGAGTGAGGTAAACGCACCAAGACAGGTTGAGAGGAACATTGACCTACAGGCCCTTTCTGCTGGGGCCCCTCCATGGAGCATATGGAGCCCAATCACGATGGACCCATTCCCAAAGTGTGCAGTCAGTTCACCATCATATACTTAACAGTCATGCTGCAGGTGGGCACCGTGCCATTCTAAAATACCAGCAGCAGTAGAAAAAGGTCTTTGACTGTCCATTAGTTAGTCTGTTCAGTGCTTCAGTTAACCTAGGGCAGACGTATTGTGTCCTGTTGAGCTGCTCACCAGCAGAGGCAGGTTACAGTATTCAGGGTGGATGGACACAGTGCCTCCTATCATCTCACCAAACTTTATACATTCATTGTTCACCATCTTGCTTCCAGCACAAGTGCCTAAAATGCTGGCCATAGTGGAAAAATTCCATTAATTCCCTCTTTGCACGCAATGCAGGGACTCCTGAGCTGTGTTTTATTTACTGCCTCTTTCTAATTGTGTTTTTGTTTCCTAAGAATTTGGTCTCAAGTATCCGTACCTCGGTAACTTTGTACCTAAGATGGCACTGTGTGCAGTGATTTGTAAACTTTTCACTGTACCCATTTGAGTACATGTGACAATAAAGCTAATTCAATTCAATTCTTAAGGCACAAAGCTACACAGTTGTGTTAGTATTCATTTTTACCTGCTGCAGAATTGCCACGATTCAGCCTGAATTTAACCACAAGAGTGTAGAACCTCCTTAATCTTTCATTGTTACCTCAACCACCCCTCTCCACCTGTGGGTATAATTAATTGATTCATTCTTCTGCACAGTAAATAACAAAAAGGAGCTAGTCGGAAGTCCCACTGACTCCTGCACTGCAGCTTTTTCTTGCAGGTACTAACAGATGTTTCTGATGTAAATGTTCATGCGCAGGGCACCACATACCAGAAGACCAATGCTGCAATTGAAATGAAGCGAATCAACCGAGAACTGTTCTGGGCACAGGCAAAGGTACAGCTTCTTATTGTCACCAGTTGAGAAATCAACAAGCGACTGTGATGTCTGTGCAAGAACTTCAGCTCTATAAAGGACAATACAGAGTCTTAGTTATCCTCCTCCTACATAATGATCTTTCAGCAAGACATTCCTTGTCTGAGGAATGTGAAAACGTCACTATAGAATGGTTAGAATCAGCAGTTTCACTGACCTGGCCTGGCTGTCATGCAGTGGCCCTGAGGAACCCAGGTCAACACTCCTCAGAGTGCCTGAGTTGCCTGTGTCGGCCACAATCGGCCCTTTGCCTTTATTTTAAAATCGGGGTCATTTTCTACAAAAACGACAACACAGACTACCAGTGAGCATCTGTGGATGTCCTGTTTTGGTTGTACAACAAACTTTATAGTATCCAGCACCCATGGACCAGGAGTGTGTCGTTGGGTCAAATATTCCAGATAATCAAGAGGTCCACATAATCAAACACACGCTAAGTAATAGAAACATAATGCAGGGAATATACACGTACTTTATACTTTAGTTGCAGCGTAAATCACTTAAATAATAATGCAACTTTGCTTTAAATAAAACTTAGCAGCAGAGAGCTTTCTCACTCACACCCTAAACTGATTACTCAGACATCGCGGTAGTTTGCAGTATTTGAGGAGAAACTGACTCAAAATTGAATCAACTGTTGATATTTCGTGTAGCCATTCGATTGAACGACAAGTGTATTTACATTGCCGTAAATAAATTAAATAAAGCATAATAATTGGACAGAATAGTACAGCAAAAGACACAGAATTTCAGGGATATAATTTCTGCCAGTTTATCACTGGTTCTTAAGAAGCCAGTTAAAACAAAGTTTGCTGTATTTCAATTTATTCTCCTTTCTTCTTGGGTAACAATTTCCTCAAGCACAAGGGAGGATCACAGCTTTACTGATAGGAGGTATCACCACTCCTTCCTGGCAGTAAATGTTGGATTTCAGATGGATAGTGGGGATGAGTAATTGATCATTGAAAATCTCTATGATATTTATTGACTTCTGTGTGAGAAATGCAGTCTACCTAAAATATGCTGCTATTACTGGGAATCCCATGTTAATATAGCAGTATAAGAATGGTTCTATAGAGCAATGGTTCCCAACTTTTTCACTATCAAGGCACACTTTAATGTGACAAACAATTCCACAGTGCACCCACTTTGTCCAGCTGAGTTGATGGCTCGTAAACGTCATGTTTACTTACATTTACCAAAGTCCACACATGGGCAGGCCCGAATCTCCACGCATGCACTGTATTGGAAATCTACAAATGCAGAGTTCTGGAGGCTTGTGCATGTGCAGTTGATCAGGGCAACTGGTAACAGCAGATGCTGCCTTCAGTAATAGACAACGAGGCTCTGAAGTAGATCGGGGTATGGATACAGCCCCAACCCTTGGCTAAAATGGTGCTGCTACCCGAAAATTTCACCAGCACACTTCCCATCTTGTCACGGCACATTGAGACAAGACTCCAGAGAAGTCTCTACAGAGACTCTGCAGACTCTAGACAAGACACGCATAGAGTAACGTACTCTCCACCATTTAAAGGCTAGAATGGCTACTCAGTAATTTAATGGATGGGAATCCTGGAACAGCTGTTTCTCACTTTGTCTCCTGCACCTCATAGTGAAATTGTGGTTACTTTATATTTTTAGAATGGAAAGTATGGCTGTGATCTGTCAGGCCACTTCTCTCTAGCTCTCTGCCTCTGTGTGTTAGTGCTCATTAGCCATCTACATTCTCTCTTTTTTGCATTGTGACTTCCTTTTGTTGCTTGCACCATAATATTCCTCCATGGTATTGAAATAATGGATATCTAACAACATCTTTCCATCCTTCATGTTTCTAACTACCAACTAAAATTTGCTTTCCACTGTTGAGCTCGTTTTCACTTAAACAAATTTACATTTTGACAAAATCACCTCCTCTTACTGGATTATGGGATTTCAAAGACATCTCCTAAGCCTTTCAAGCATCATAAAAAGTAAATATGCCTTCACTGTGATTGATAATTTCTCTGTGTCTGTGCCTTTGTTTAATTTCTCCTGCCGGTGTATGTGAGGGATCTGAGACAAGTCTGCAATCTATTCTGATTGTCTAGGTAAATGCAAGTAGCAACAATATACTGAATCCTGTTAATGTACTGCTCTGACTAAAGGTCCAGGTACCTTTTTTTATCCTTGAAGAGCACAATGTTCAAGCGTCACAGTCCATCAAAGCAGTGTCAGTTCCAGCCTAACGTGTGCTCTGTGCTTTAGAGAGAAGAGGAGTTGAGGAAAGAAGAGGAGCGTAAGAAACTGATTGAAGAAAGAGAAAAATTCGAGAAAGAGAGAATGGAGCAAGAGAAGAAAGAACAAGAAAATAGAGAGCAAAGATACCGGGAACGAGAGAAACAGATAGAGGAAGAAAGGTATGTTTGTCATTTGGGGAGCAGTGGATGGAGCAGTAATTATTGGAAATTTGCTTCTTACAAACAGCACCTCAGGGGGATGCTGAGTAGCTGCACAGATGTCTGGTTTCCCAATATTAATCAATGTTTAAGTCCTTTTCTACAGTAAAATAGTTCCAAAATGGCATTTGGAGGATCTTGTTCCATAAGAATGATTGCAATCAGTGTTTTTGAAAAGTACACAGAATGACAGCATGAAATGATTAAAGAATGACAGGATCCTCGTTCTCCCATTGTGACAGCATCCAGGGCTAAACTGTTACAAATGTTTTCTCTCTAAACCAGGTATAATGACTGTTAAAACACTCACTTTGAAATTACAATTTTTATTTATTGAGTAAATAAAATGCTAAGCCCCTGTAATATTGAGTTATTCTCTGAGTGATTTCAGGTACCTATCTGGACAAATTTGGATTTCCAGCTGTGAAAAATTCTTTATGCCATTTTACTTTTTGCATACATTTGCACCTGCAAGGTGTGCCAGTGACAGTGTGATCAGTGTGGGATCTCGAGTGAGCAATTTTTCAGGTAATCACTCTGAACTATGGGTGATGCCAAGCAGAATCTAGGCATCACTTACCTGGGAGGAAAACAGTTTGAGGCAGAGTTTTACTGAAGATGTTCTTACATTTGCTTCAGTGCCTGTCCCAGAAGACATTGTTAGAGACCTTTCTCCATGCTGTCTTACTCAATTTATTTAGCAATCCATCTTTTTGCAGTTCAGTATCTCAATGGATCCTTCTGTATCTGCTTGAGCGCTATAGAAACAAGTGTTTTGGTGAGAAACTGGTCCCTCAACTGCTCTGACCTGTTGCTTACAGCACTGGCCTTGGAAAATTCTTTGTTTTGTTACGTTTCGATTTTCCACAAGAATTAATTTGTATAATAGCATTTATAGTAAAATAATACTACAGGACAGAAAGAGACCATTTGGCCCATTGAGACTATGCCTGCTTTTTTGTGAAGAGCCATCCAATTAATTTCAATGCCTGCCCCTTTCTCCATGTGTGAGCAATATTTTCTCATTCAAATATTAACCCAATTCCCTTTTATAGGCTATTACTAAATCTGTATCTACTCTCCTATCACGCAATACATTTCAAATCTAACTACTGATACATAAAATAGTTTCTCCTCTGGTTCTTTAACCAATCTGTGTCCTCTGATTATCAATCCTTCAGCCAGTGGAAACAGTTCCTACTTGTTTACACCACTATGATTTTGAACATCTCAATCAGGCATGTTCTTATGCATTCTCTAAGGACAATAATCTCACCTTGTCATATGGCATTTTGCTAAAGGTCTTATGAAGCAGTTTTCATGAATATATTAATAGTCACTTAGTAGTACACACACCTTGAGTGTTGCTGAACAAAGACATTTTGCCAAGGCTGTTCTCACAAAATAACAATGATGTTGGGAAGCAGATAAGATTTTCTTTAGGCTGTATATTTTCTAATCTTTCAATCTGTGTCATATTTACATAACAACCAAAAGAACTGTGGATGCTGTAAATCAGGAACAAGAACAGAAGTTGCTGGGAAAGCTCAGCAGGTCTGGCAGCATCTGTGGAGAAAAAAATCAGAGTAAATGTCTTGGGTCCAGTGATCCTTCCTCAGAACTGATTGTAGCTAGGAAAATGTCGGTTTATATGCAGAAGCTGAGGTTGGGGCAAGGGGTAAGGAGTAAATAATAGGTGGGGATAGGGCCCAAAGAGAGATAAGAACAGTTGGATAGATAAAGGAGTGAATAACGATCTGGCTAGGAGAGTAAATAGCTGTTAATGGAGACTACTAGTGGCTAACAATAGGTGGTGTGTGATGGCAGACTATGTGATAACAAGGCCTGGTGTGTGGGGTTGGGGTCTAGGACATGGAAGAGTTCAAGCCTTAAAATTATTGAACTCGCTATTATGCCTGGAGGGCTGCAGGGTCCCCAAGCGGAAAATAAGGTGTTGCTCTTCCAGCTTGCGTTGAGCTTCGCTGGAACACTGCAACAAGCCTGAGACAGAGCTGCTGGCCAGGGAACAGGGTGGTGTGCTAAAAGTGGCAGGCAATTGGAAGCTCAGGGTTATTTTTATGGGCACAATGTAGATGTTCTGCAAAGTGATCACCCAGTCTATGCTTCATTTCCCCAATGTAGAGGAGACCACATTGTGAGCAGTGAATGCAGTAGACTAGATTCTGGGAAGTGCAGGTGAAGTGTTGCTTCACCTGGAAGGTATGTTTGGGCCCTTGGATACTGGGGAGGGAGGAGGTAAATGGGCAGGTGTTGCACCTTCGGTTACAGGGGAAGGTGCCATAGGGCTGTGGGGAGGTGTTGGGGGTAAAGGAAGTGTGGACCAGGGTGTCCCGGAGGGGATGGTTTCTGCGGAAGGCAGACAAGGGAGGGGAGGGGAATATGTGTCTGTTGGTGGCAGAAATGGTACGTGATGATCTTCTGGATGTGGATGCTGGTGGAATGGTAGGTGAGGTTAAGGGGAACCCTATCGCTGTTGCGGGAGGGAAGAGAAGGGGTGAGGGCGGAAGTGCAGGAGATGGGTCAGACCTGGTTGAGGTCCTGTCGACAACGGAGCTGGGGAATCCTCGGTTGAGGAAGAAGGTGGACATTTCGGAGGCTCCCTTGTCGAAGTCGGCCTCATCTGAACATATGCGACGGAGACGGAGGAACTGAGAGAATGGGATGGAGTCTTTACAGGAAGTGGGGTGTGAGGATGTATAGTCCAGGTAGCTGTGGGAGTCAGTGGGTTTATAATGGGTATTAATGGCCAGTCTATCCCCAGAAACGGAAACAGGGATACCAAGGAAGGTAAGGGAGGAGTCAGAGATAGACCAAGTGGAAGTGAGGGCAGGGTGGAAATTGGAAGCAAAGTTGGTGAACATTTCCAATTCCAGACGAGAGAGGGAAGCAACACTGGTGATATCATCGATATATCAGAGAAAGAGTTGTGGGAGGGGTCCAGAATAGGATTCGAACAAGGAATGTTCCATGTGCCCCACAAAGAGACAGGCATAACTGGGGCCGCTGTGAGTACCCATGGCTATTCCTCTGACCTGCTTCCCTCTCTCATCCGGAATTGGAAAAGTTCATCGAATTCGCTTCCAATATCCATCCCACCCTCACTTTCACCTAGTCTGACTCCTCCCTTCCCGTCCCCAACATCTCTGTTTCCGTTTCTGGGGATAGACTGGCCATTAATACCCACTATAAACCCACTGACTCCCACAGCTACCTGGACTGTACATCCTCACACCCTGTTTCCTGTAAAGACTCCATCCCATTCTCCCAGTTCCTCCGTCTCCGTCACATATGTTCAGATGAGGCCAACTTCGACAAGGGAGCCTCCAAAATGTCCACCTTCTTCCTCAACCGAGGATTCCCCAGCTCTGTTGTTGACAGGGCCCTCAACCAGGTCCAACACATCTCCTGCACTTCCGCCCTCACCCCTTCTCTTCCCTCCCACAACAGTGATAGGGTTCCCCTTGTCCTTACCTACCATCCCACCAGCATCCACATCAGATGCCATTTCTGCCACCTCCAGCAAGATGCCACCAGCAGACACATATTTCCCTCCCCTTCCTTGTCTGCCTACAGTAGGGACCGTTCCCTCTGAGGCACCCATTCTATCCCCATCTATCGTTTACTCCTTACCTCCTCCCCCCACCATATCTTCTGCATATTAACCAATATTTTCCCCAGTTCTAAGGAAGGGTGACTGATTTGAAACATTAACTCTGATTTCTCTTCAAAGATGCTGCCAGACCTGCTGAGCTTTCCCAGCAACTTCCGTTTTTGCTATATTTTGTTAATAAGTCTCTGCTTTTTTTATTAAATTGTGGGTGTTACTGGCTGGGCCTACTTGACCTTTAGAAGGTGATGGTGAGCTGGTGTTTATTTTTAAAGCAAAATCTTTATCCTTGTATGCTCAAGTTTCAGTGAAAAGCCGTCATTTTAAATTAGAAAACAAAATGATATATCAGGCCAGTTTTCATGCTGAGAACTGACTTGTCCTGAACCTAACATCAGCTGGTATCATAACAAATGTATAAGAGGAGAGTGATTGGTTGATAAATGGTGTATAGATGTACAAGTTGGTGTCCCCTTAAATTAATAACATACTAATATCGAAAATGAGTTTGCTTCTATCATTTACAAGAAATAAACTATATTCCTGTTATAGGGTTATACCTACAATCTTTTCTGTTTCTGTTCAGAATTTTATAGTAACATAATGTATTAAAAGATCAAGACTGTAAGCAGAAGTTTGTGGAAATACTTTTTATTCAGTGTGTGTGGTCTGTCTGCTGACAATTCCCTTTATGATCCTTGAATGCTTTCCCTAGATTACCATTGTGTTTGATCATCTCCAGTTTATATTACTGAATAATAGGTAATAACGAATAAATGAATTTTCACAATACATGCCTGATTTTCATGGAGTTTTACACCGTTAATCTGCCTGTTGTGGTTTAGTTTTTCCTTATAGTTTTGAGAATTTGGTTTTATCAGGGCACGATTGAAAATGGAATCATTGACTGTCAGCAAGTCAACATGACAGTGCTAATTCTGAGCTCTGTGTCGGTATCACATGTCTGTATGGAGCAGGTTTTCATGGAGTGAGAAGGTGCTCAACTTAATGCTGTCATCATCTTCTTCCAACCTTACCAGTGATATTGTCTTTTAACTTAATTATTAGTGTGTGTTTTTTTTTAATTTTAGGAAGAAACTGCAAAGCCTGGAAGTTGATGAAATCAAATGTGCATCAAAACAGAGCAACTACCGGGTCAGTGCGGCCTTTAGCTCTCCTTATAGATATTAATATATC